CTAAAGCCTCCAAGAATCATCTATGTAATGTGCAGTGATAGCCATAAATCCCTTTTTTTGATTGGATGTCCACAAATCAATGGCGACTGCTATTCTACTATTGGTCTTCTCTAACAAGCCCATTACTTTTGTTCTCTCATAATCATAAATTTTCAAGATATTAGCCTTGATGGTATTACGAGAAACAACTTTAAATAATGGTTGAATTGTATTACAAAACTTTCTAAACCCAATATGCTCAACCATTGAAAGAGGATATTCGTGTAGGATGATCATATTTGCAAGTTCCGTCCTACCTTTCTCTTGATCAAAATTAAACGCTCTCATTGCAATCCTACCACCAGGTTCTTTAAATTGATTCAAAAAATCTGTTTGACATCCTTCCGACCTTGAAGAGGACATCTATTTAAATGAGCATGTAAATGACTTGTCCCATTTTTTGACTCACTCCCTAACTGTTTGTTGCATTGTTTGCAAATTGCTTTTGGCACATTATTAATTCTCTGTAGCTTAAAATGCTGCCACACTGAAGAGGTCAATTTTCTTTTTCTATTTTCTATTTTCCTCAGTCATCTCCTCATCATCACTTAAATCTATACGCATAGGATTTTCATTTACCTAACTTGGACTTTGTGAAGTAACTGGTGTACTTGTTGATGTATCTCCAACTTGAATTGAAGCAGAAGCACGTACTTCAATTCCTTCAAATACAGAAAAACTCAAGCCGCAACACCAACATTTCGCCAGAGTATTTCTCTCATGTGAAGCAACTTGCAATCACATACAAGATGATTCAATTACAACTCACTTGGCACCACATTCAGTCAGAATACAAATGAATATGAAACAGAGAACAAGAAATGAAGCTTTTTAGATTTTGGTCTTGCAAAACAGCAAAAGCAAAAGAAGATGATTCAGTTACCTCAAATAGTGGTAGGAGCAGTGAAGCTAGTGGCTGCGTGCGTTTTTGTAGTAGGGTGAACCGGTGATGTCGTGAAGATAATTGTCTAGAGGCGATGAGGCGTCAGGCGTGGAGCTATGGCTGTTGTGGCTATGTGAGTTCGTGGTCTGTGGAGTAGAGTAGGGTTTACGTCTTTAACTGATTCTATAATTTCTATTACTATAATACTATGGGTTATGGTAACTAGGCTAGAGTGCTGGACCGCTGGGTATAATAAATATATTGGGCAGAATTTTATTTTGGGCTAGATAAAAATAGTGGAAAGTCCAATAACCAATTGCTCAATTATTATTATTTTTTTTTATGGGTAATCGGTTTAGTTTTGGGGCAAGGGCGTAAATACCATATCCGCCCCATTGCACCATCAGTTTGATTTTTTTCGCCCCATTCAGTTCAGTTAACCACGGTTTTTGGTTTTGACAGTTCGAATTATCATTCCTAGTCAGCAACACGGCTACCTGCAACTTTTTAAAAAACAAAATGTGAGCCGCCGAGCTTAGATTTTTCGGCAAAGCAAAAGCTCA